AACTGCAGTATTCAGAGGTAGGGTGAATCTGAGCCTTGTAAATCGAGAGATGAATGGTGTGAAGAAGCGTCTGGCGCAGAAGATGAAGCCGATTTTGCAAGTAGCGCGGGAAACGAAGATAAATCCAAGGTGACCATGAAAAAAAAACAAGATAAGGAAAGACCCAATAGTTTGCATGATTCTGTGGAACGGAGAGTGTTTGAGTTGAAATCCAAGGAAGAGTAGAAAGATGCGCGTTTAGGAGAAATGGACATAAGGAAAGTTCTAGCGTTGAACAGAACACGGTTGCTACAGCCCCAAGCAGAGATAAGGCCCACATCAGAATTTAGGGAGGAGCGGTCGTCACTAATGCTGGCGTTAGCGATGCGTGAAGAGGAATAGGACAGAGAAGAGTGTAGAGTAGCGTCATCGGCAATGGCGTGAATAGGATTTGAAGTTGAAGAAAGAAGGTCATCAATAAACATCAGAAAAAGGGAAGGAAAAAGTACAGAACCATGGGGAACATCGGCATTTACAGGCACGGAACGATACATGGTCCCATCTACTCTAACGGAGATGCTGCGGTCCTTAAGGTAGCTTACTGTTCAGGACAAATGTTCCGAAGGAAAGCCAAACTTAAGTAGTTTAGATAGCGAACCGACGTGTCTACTACCTCTTCTCACTCCCAAACCTTAGGAGATGCATCCTGTTTGCACCACCCATCGAGTATCATTCAACGTTCAACCAGTACGGTCGATCAATCAGAAACCTGCAGATTTTTGAAACCAAAATCTCCTTTTTACTTAGCCCCATTTAATATCCGCATACTCTATCAGATCGGCCAAAAAGCTGTCTTAGCTGGAACCCTTGAAACCTTCCATTTGGATGTATGCTGTGTCTCCGAAACACGCATACAAGACCCTTCTGCTCCTCACGCTTAGTGTACAATCGGCGGCGAATGACGGACGTCAACAGCTTTGACGCTATTGGGATAAGGTTTATACCCCTATGATTGGCGCAGTCATTGCGCGGTCTCTTTTTTTAGTTCTCTAAAAAGCTTTATTTCACCATCTGTAAACAGCCTTGAGGAAAGTCCATCAGAGCACGGCGCTTTGTGACGTCCCAAGGCTTGGATCTCCTTACGGATTTCCGCCTCAGGTGGGTCTGTTGGGACAGACCATGGGACGTGTACCAGAATAACTGTGTGAGAAGCCGACGCTTGTGGCCAGCTTAATTGTGCTTTGAGTGCTCCGCCCAGCATGCAAGACCTGATTATGAATGGGCGAACCGTCAGCTTCGCAGATCGTTTCGCTCACACTCAAGGCTTTCCTACCGGTGAACCGGCTGAGATTGAACAGCTTAC